GATTATTGGTGGATAGCAAAGTATAAATCCAAATCCAAAACGGCTCCAAACATTGCTAAATTGATATTTAATACAATTGTATATATGGTCACAATGAGAGCAACAATTTCAACTTCACTACAATATGGATGTGTCATCACCCATCTGTTGAAGAAGAAAGAAGTTGATTTTTTGCATGACGTCGTTGTTCGATTAACCCGCAAGATTGACATGTTATTTATTAAAAAAGCGGGATATGATTTTGTTGAAAAACTCGGTTGGAAGCGTGTCAAGGAGGTTGGATTAGATCAAAAGAGGGAGGAAATGGACCTCATTGGCCATGAAGACGAGCAACCAATTGGAGACGCAATGATGAAAGAAGCTCTAGAAGCTCCAGTTGGAGAAGATGTCACAATTAAGACCGTGATAGAATATATGGTCAATTTTCGGGAGCATATTGATTCCCTTGTGAGTGGAATGCGAGCCGATATTTCATCATTGCGCGATGAAGTCTCCATGTTGCGTGACGAATTATGTCAACGACATCAAACGAGTTAGGTAATTCATTATTTATGTTTCTAAACATTTACAAGTTCTGAAATGTATTTTATTTTCTTTTAATAGATGTGGACAACCAAACGGTCAATGAAGATGAAGATGACGATGAAGATGATGATGATGATGACGATCCAAACAAGTATATCGTGTCTGCAACGTCGCCTTCAAGAAAACTTTTAATTTTTGATCTCAACGGTGTCCTTGCCTACATCCCAAGACTGCCTGCAAGTTTTAATTATGTTCTTTTGTATCCATTATTTTAACATATAAGCGTAGAACTTTAATCTCATTTTCTTCATGTTGTAGGCGTTGTCCTCAAAACATGATTATTTGAATTTATCAATTTTGTGTAGACAATTTTGTTGTTGCCATTTGGTCTTCTAAGATGAGGTTAGAACTCTTGAGCAATTGAATTACTGTAGCCAAAATCGTTAATATACAATTGAATGTTAACATTCAAACTTGATTACAATCTCAGGCATAACATCGACCGTGTACTTGAGAAATTACATTTATTTTATGAGCATTTTCTATTCGTTTGGGTAAGATGAATGTGATTACAGTTTGCTGACTTTTCTTTGTCTATGATTCCTACATATTTATGTTCGACTGTTTGTGAACAGGATCAAGCAAAATGCAAAACATACGATTATGTTACCTACTGTAAAGATCTCAATGATGTTTAGAACGTGTGTCCTGATTTTAACGAGCTAAATACACTTTTGGTCGATGATTCAACTAAAAAACTGATTTATAATACGGCAAGTTACATTTATGCAATATGTTTTTCCAGTTAAACAAATGTTCATACATTGATTGATTAACAATTTATGTGTTTATATAGAAATACAATTACATATGTCCACATACCTTTGACGATGCTTCTCATTCGAACGACAGTGCTCTAGGTATGACACAAATTTATTCATGCTTATGCGAATTTAGTTTATTGTTAGTAAAATTGCACCTCATTAGTTTGATAATTGAAATTATTTATGTATGTCCTCAGAAAAATGCCGAAACATAAGAGAATATTTGGAAAATTTGTTGAAGGCGCCTAATGTTCCAGACTTCGTTAGAAATAACCCTTTTTCATCAAATTAATTTTGTTGTCGGTACATTATTTGAACATTGTTGTGTATATATCTTTTGGTTTGATTATATTGTGTGTATATTTTCATTAATTATTCCATATTTGATTCTCTATATACATATACATTTGAGGATTGTTGAAATATCAATACTAGTTATTAATATATTTTACATATGCGTGCAAATGTATCGAAACACATTATTAAAGAAATGTTTTCTATGATCTCTACAACAAAGTTTTCATACTTAGAAATATCGGTATATTTATAATCGTTTTCTATAATGTATCCAAACTTAAAGTTTCCCATAAAGTGTCGATCCATATATAAAAGTAACGACACCAAAAACATCGAAACCAATAATTATAATGTAATGGGTAATTTTTCAATGTAACTGGTATAACTATACCGGTTTTATGAAAAATAGGTCTCTAACATGTATCGACACTTATCAATATTGTGTCGATACTTTTTGTACAGAATGGATGCCAAAAAGGGTGAACGCACAAAGTGTCAATCCAAAAGGGTTGCACGCATAAAGTTTTGATACATTTATTAAAGGCATAATGCAAACAAATACCCCTAACGTTTGACACTATAGGCATAATGCAAACAAATACCCTAACGTTTGATTATGAGGCATAAGTCCCCCTCTTTGGATGGAAATCGTCGGTCAACTGACGGTCAACGGCTCCAGCTGACTAAGCAAGCACAGGTGGATAACGATGATGACGTGGCGTGTCCACGTCATTAATATATGATGATGTGAAATTGACATGTCAGCTTTTTTAATTAAATTTTAATAAATATTTTATACCAATAAGAGAGTCCTACTAGTACATATTGGCATAAATGGATAAAATTCTAAGGAGTGCTGGGGATGGGAATCGAACCCGGGGCAAGTGCCTGAAATAGGATGGCCCTTGCCACCAGACCAAGCATGTTACTTGGTTATTATGTGGAATTGATCGTGCTTGATGTGTGAAAAGTCCCCACAAAACAGTTCTCCTAGGATAAGCCAGTATCTCCTTCATTCACGTTGACTACTAACGCCTCCTCCTCTTTATCCTCAATGCGAAGTTCCTCCAGATTCTGCACAACATCCCCTGTAACACCCCCAACCCGTACCCGACCCAGATACGAGTCTGAGATGTCACATTACCTTTTTTAAACATTACTCTTAAAAAATAATAAAAAAATACTTAAAATTATATTAAGAAAATAAAATAATATACATATATTAATACAAGTTTACCAAAATACTCAGAGCATACACAAATTAACCCTTTAGTTACATGCCAACACCTATTTACATAACAAAATGACCTACTGATTAGGTTGCTTCTGATCTGATAGTTACAGGAGTAATGTTGTCAGCTGCTTAACATGTATCTTCTACTTTCTCGGATCCTACGCGTGAAACACTAACACGCTAAGTCATCGACTTAGTGAGGCAATGTAATAATAATAGCAAGGAACTGCAATGAAAATGCCATAATGATATGAAATGAGATGAAATTGTATACTTAATCAATGTGGTTTATATCACCATGATCCTTACCCGTAAGCATATTACATTAGCATTCTCGAAGTACCGCATAGAAATTTATCCCGAAGGACCGCGTAGAATTTGTCCCGAAGAACTACATATAAATTCCTTAAGAATCATATACATATGCCAAGGATCAGTTATGTGTCTCAAAAGACCTCATAAATGTTCCAAAGAATATATATATATCCCGAATGACCGCGTAGACCCTCTACCCTTGGCCTGCCAACTATACATATAGTTCTTATCTACAGAACATGGGCTTTTACAATTCACATAATTTATATCGCATAGACATATCATTTCCATACCTTTATCACATAATTCATATAACTTTTCCTGCATATTCATGTCACATAATGCATATAATATGAATTCATGTCAAGTATCATAATATAGAATGTGATCATGTATCAAATATTGAATATAGACTTATCACAAGTCTAGAACTGAATATAATACTATATTCATGCTATGCATATGCACTCACCTATATTTCCTTGTTTTTTCCTCGATCGATCTTACTTATTGATTGTTCCAGAACTCGATTAGGCTCAATATCTACATAAACATAATTTTCAAGATGATTATCAGATGCCTAAGTCTTGCAATTAACCTCTAATAGCTTAAACAAATTTAAGGAATTGATATTTCATTTTTCCTTTAAGGGGGAATCGGTTCCCCCTGTTGGGGTATCGATTCCCCTATGGCATTCTGGAATTTCATATTCATTTGAGGGGTATCGATTCCCCTTGAATGGGTACCGATTCCCCTAGCCCAGAAATCCCATTTTGAGCTCTAAAATCACCTTATTTCAGCTCAAACCTTCATATTTTACTCCCTTTAATATTCCTAACTTTCATACACATACTTAAACTCATTTCTACTCCATAATCACTTCTTTAAACTCCAAATCTAATCCTTCCTATGTAATTGCAAAATTATACTAGTTTTGCAACATGCTCAAATTCCTATTCTAACATTTCCTATCCCTTAATTAACTTGATGACAAGTCAAATCTCACTTCCAATTCTTATTATGAACTATAATCCAAGATTATACTTTTCTACTTCATTTATTCAAATCCTCATATACTTCTCATAGTGAGGTTTTAAAACAAATTAAACTTTCTTTAAGCTTAACTATTACCTAATGGTCATAAATCAACCATAAATTCATTAAGAATTTCACTAACAAGAGATCTTACCTTTAGCTTGGGTCTCACGTATGAAGAAGAAGAAGAAGAAGAAAACTCTAGAAGCTTGTTTTGGTTTCCTATACTTCCACGTGGTTTAATATAATACTAACCCCAATAATTACCTTGCTATAAAAATACCATTTTGTTCTTTTAATCCTCCTTCTTTATAATTTAATCCTACACAAAATAGCTCAAATAAGTCGTTGAACTTTTCTATCATTCTATTTTAATCACCAAATTCTGAAACTTTACAATTTAATCACTAACCCGATATGGAGGATGTTATATCCCCCATCCGACAAAATGAATCAATCTTAGATCCCCACACTCTAAACAAGAGAACAATAAACTAACCAACGATATCAACAAAGGATGAGAACACCCTCATATCACAACAAACCAAACAAACCAGCAGTCGAACAGGGCATAACCCTCTAATAATCTTTTCTCTAAGCTTCACCTCACCGCCATTGAATAAACTAATCAAAGCTTTGTTTCTCGAATCTCTTAAATCTCTGAATTGGGTTAAACTTACCAAGGGTGTACATTTTATTTTCCATAAAATTAAGCTGGGTTATTCTTTCAAAATTTTGACTTTGGGCACTTCTTATTTTATCTTTCAACCATGGAGCCAAACGCAAGGACGGCGGAGACAAGATATAATTTAACGACGTTGGACGGGGATGAAGTTACGACGTTCGAATCACTCCAATTCACCGATGAAATCCACCGTTTGATTTCGGCTCCGCCAACTGATAACGCCAGTTCCTTCACGGCTCTGCTTGAACTACCGTCTCCACAAGCAATTGAGCTTCTTTACTCTTCTGAATCATCGAAGCTTATCCCTTCTTTGCCTCCGAACGTTGAAGATTTCAAAGACAACTTCCATTTTGCTTTGAATACTTGTTTGATTGAACGAGATGCGAGGTTTTCTACAGAAGTTAATAACAACAATGAGAGTGAGAAGAGTAAGTCACATGAGTCGAAAAAATTAAGCACGAATCTTGAGAAGGCGATAAAGAGTGAGCCGGCGGAGACTGAGTCATCCCAATCGTTGGTTTCTGATCCAACATTAGACAAGCAGAATATCAAGAGAAATGATGGAGAAAATAAGGTAGAAAACCCAAACCAAAAGGAAAATTTGATCAAGGGTTTGTTGGTTTTCGTTTTTGGTAATTTTTTTATTAATTTGTTTTCTGAACTTGCATATGTTAAAGGGTCAACAAAGAAAAGCAAAACTGCGGTGAATGAGAGCTCAGAGAACGCCCAGAAGTTGCCTTACGTTCACGTGAGAACATGTCGGGGACAAGCAACGGATAGCCATAGCCATAACTTTTTTATATATTAATCTGAACATTTATTATGGGTTTATTAATATTTTGTTACACATAATAACCAAGTAACATGTCTGGTCTAGTGGCAAGGGCCATCCCATTTTAAGCCCTTGACCCAGGTTCGATTCCCATCCCCAACACTCCTTGGCATTTTATCCATTCATGCCAATATGTACCAGTAGGAGAGTGACACGTGTCACTCTCATATTGGTATAAAATATTTATTAAAATTTAATTAAAAAAATTGATGTGTCAATTCCACATCATCATATATTAATGACGTGGACACGCCACATCTTCATCAATGTCCACCTGTGCTTGCTTAGTCAACTGGAGCCGTTGACCGTCAGTTTACTGACGGTTTTCATCCAAAGAGGGAGACTTATGCCTCATAATCAAACGTTGTGGGTACAACTGCTCCAAAAAAATGATTTGGGCATAAATACATATAGTGTCAAACGTTAGGGGTATTTGTTTGCATTATGCCTTTATTAAAAGTGTCGATCCCAAAAACATCAAAACCCCATAATTATAATATAATAGGTAATTTTTTAATATAACCGGTATACATATACCGGTTTTATGAGAGAATAGGTCTATAACATGTATCGACACTTCTTAATATTGTGTCGATAATTTTTGTCCAAAATAGATGCCAAAAAGGGTGAACGCATAAAGTGTTGATACATATTCAAAAAGTGTTGATCCCAAAAATATCGAAACCCATAATTATAATGTAATAGGTAATATACCGGTTTTATGAGATAATAGGTCTATAACATGTATCGACACTATATAAATTTGTGTCGATACTTTTTGTCCAGAATGGATGCCAAAAAGGATGAACGCACAAAGTGTCGATACATTTTCAAATAGTATCGATCCCAAAAACATCGAAACCCATAATTATAATGTAATAGGTAATTTTTTAATATAACCGATATAAATATATCGTTTTATAAAATAATAGGTCTACAACATGTAGCGATACTTTTTTATTTTGATTCGATACTTACGATATATGGAGATCGTTGTCATTCCATTCCGTCTTCGAAAAAATCAGTTGATGTAGGTTGTGTGCTTGTATTCAAGCTAAGCATGACTTAAGGACATGTTAGTTTGTTATGTCCCTCACCGTTGTAGTACCCACATCGCCTAATTTTCTTCTCGACCTTGTTTTTCGGTACTTCTTTTCGCTTGCGTTGTTTTCGTTGAGGGTCACGAACGTTGTTTACTACAATGCTCTGGTTGACTGAATCATTCAAACCAAACAAGTTTTCTAATTCTTCTATTAGTCTTTTCATCTCATCTCTTGCGGTTTTGAAAGACTCGTCTGTCTTTGATGTAATGTAGCATAACCTACTTGACGTTAAACGTAGAGCAGCGAACCTTGACATTTGCATCACTTCTGGAGACACATTCAAGTCAACATAACTGGGTGCAGAAGCCTTCGCATCATTAGTCCACCTACTTTGAATCAAAGTCCCGGGCAAATATGTGTAATCCAAGTGCTTCAAAATATGAAGTTGATGGCGACACGGAAATCCAACGGTCTTAAATTTTTTGTAGGAGCAAATTAGGGTTTTCGTACGAGAATCAAAACTAATTTCAAATTTCCTATTTTTTCTTTGTACTTTGACAAAATATAATGTTGACATTCATCTGATAAGGACTGAATCTCTGCCTCAATCTGGTATAATGTCTCTCGTAGAAGTTCATCTTGGAACGTACGAAAAGATTCGCGAGTAAAAATCGCAGCAACATGGCTTTCAAGGTCGACCAGTTTTATGATCTGGAAGGGCTTCGTATGATAACTTAAGTAATCCGCTTTCAACTCGTTCATACGCATTCTACTAATTTCATCTTCAATTGCACGAACAACATCTAAATATGTCTTCTTGTGTTTTAGTGCAATCGCTAGTGAAGCATTCATAGACTCACACCTTTGTGTTGAGCGAATATTGGCAAAGAAATGACCGGTTAGATATGCTTGTGCCCATGTATTTCCCTTTTCAATCACCCATGGATGCTTTTCGACGTTGAATTCTGAAACAACCGAAAGCCATTGAATATCAAATTCCTCAGTTGTCCACCAGGAAGCCATGCATTTTGAGAATGATGTTGTAAATTTTGGGTCACCAATGTTAGTTTGTGCATTATGAGAAAGATGCCAAGAACATAATATGTGCTTAGTATAAGGGATAACATATTTGATAGCCCTCTTCATTGCCCTATCCCTATCGATGACAACTGAAATAGGTGATTTACTCATCATGGCTTCTAAAAAATTCTGTAGCACCCACTCGAAAGATTGAGACGTCTCGTCAGCGATTATGGCAGTGGCAAACACAATTGTATTATGGTGATGATTGACACCAACAACAGGCATAATTGGTCGACCATACAAATTATCTTTGTACGTTGTGTCGAACGTAATTACATCACCGAAGCATGTGTAATCCGATCTGGATGTAGAATCCGACCAAATAAGATTATGCAATGGCCCTGATTCGTCTACCGAGTATATCATAAAAAACCCGGGATCATCATGTTTCTTATAATCAAAGTAGACAATAAGCGCATTCATATCCCCATCGACGATTTCCTTTGCTTTACCACTTTGAAGTGCATTGTAGAGGTCTTTATGTGTAAATCCAACATTATGATAGCCCCCTACCTGCTGCGTTAAATAGTTCATTACTTGTGACGTGCCAACACCGACCTCTTTCAATGTTGTTGCCTCATCGATATCAGCCTTACTTACAGCTCTATTAGAACACATAAATGGTGTCATAGCAGGTGTGCACAATGCATGATTATGTTCTTGATAAGACTTACTTATAACCCACTGATCGTTTGTATTTGTTGTTGTAACTACGACTCTAGCCTTACATCCTGTTCTTGTGACTGGCGTATGAGCACGTTGACGATCAACAGTATTGACTTTTGATACTCGAAACCCTTCTTTGGAACAACAAAATTCTTGTGTCTTCACATTCCCTTCCATGTCAAGCCGTGTTGTTCCCTTACGTGCACTAAACCCATGTTCCTGTGCAAATCCCTTGTAAAAGTACCAAGCTTGATCACATGAACAGAAGAGCTGACCAACCAGTCTGTTAGATTCATCAACATTATGTACTTCATAACATTCCTCGGTTGGCTTAACATTGTCTGCATCAGTATGATCCATGGCAAAAATTTTGTTGTGCAAGTTCAGTTGTCCCGGAGTTGATGGAGATGTAAGCAAAGGTTCATTGAACATGTTTCAGTCGTGCTGCTTTCAATAGGATGTGGTATTGGTAGTGGTAGTTAAAGGGTGGGTACAACATTAAATTCGCAATACATATTTAGGTATGTACAATAACTACCTAAATATGTGTCGATACATTTTATACAAGTATCGACCCAAAAAACATCAAAACTAATAATTATAATGTAATAGGTAAATTACCAATATAACCGATATAAATATACCGGTTAATTAGAAAACATGTCAACATAATGTATCGACACTTGTGGAATTTGTGTCGATACTTATTGTCCAGGATGAATGCACAAACGAGGTGCACGCATAAAGTGTCGATACATTTATTAAAAGTATCGATCACAAAAACATCGAAACCGATAATTATAATGTATTAGGTAAATTTACAATGTAACCGATATAAATATACCGGTTTTATGATAAAAATAGGTCAGCATAAAGTATCGACGCTTGCTAAATTTGTGTCGATACTTTTGGTACAGAATGAATGCCAAAAAGGGTACAACCATAAAGTGTCGATACATTTATAAAAATATCGATCCCGGAAACATCGAAACCCATAAGTATAATGTAATAGGTAAATTTTCAATGTAACCGGTATAAATATACCGGTTTTATGAGAGAATATGTCTAAATAATGTATCGACACTTTGTTAGTTTGTGTCGATACTTTTTTCCAGAATGAAATATGAATTCCCAACCAGGTGCAAGCATAAAATGTCGATACATTTAAAATTATATCGATCTAAAAAAACATCGAAACCGGTAATAATAATATAATAGGTAAATTTGCAATGTTACCGGTATAAATATATCGGTTTACTTCAAAAATAGGTCAATATAAGTGCTACCTATTACATTATATAAGAGCTACCTAATATGTTATTGTACTTGATAATATTTCCGATTAAACGCCTATTTTATTATATAAGCGCTACATATTACATTATATAAGTGTTACATAATATGTTATTGTACATGATAATATTTTTAGTTAAATGATATAACATTACCGATCAAAATTTTAACCAATCACTTGTTTAACCGATCACATCATTTTTTAACTGTTTTTTTAACCGCCGCACAGCAGAACTTCCCGTTTTTAACTGGCAAGAGAAAGTTACTCAAACTGCATTATAATTCAAACTCCTCCACCATCATCATTTCTTTAGGAATTTACTGCTGTAATTCTATTCCGTTAAAATTTAACAATTTAAAGATATTTTTTCTATAATTAATTTGATAACAAATTAATACGCGACAATAATTTTGTTAAAATATATATATATATATATATATATATATATATATATATATATATATATATATATATATATATATATATATATATATATATATATATATAATTTGAAGTGAATATAAGATATTGCTTGTTTAAAATATTTTAATTATTTGATAAAAATATATTTTTTTATCTATTTAATGTCTAAATTTAAAATTTTAAGAGATAATAATAAATTTTAACTGCTAAACTTGTTTGATTATTGTTATTAAAAAGAACTTTAAATAAATGATTTAGAACATATGTTAAAGAAAGTAACTTATGTGATAAGGAAGGACTGGAAGGGCCTACCGCCTATGTAGCGATCTATGCATATCATTTAATCTGTACTATTTTATCCCAAAGATCACACTCAGATTTTAGATCTAGTTCCAAAAACGTAGAAGTTAGTTGCTTTATATATTTATTTTCAAGTATATTTATATATCACTGTATAATTAAAATTA